ACGGGCCGAAGGTGGCATCGGTGGTATAATCACAGATGCCATTCTCTCTGCTTTCTGTTTCTGATCTTAACTAATTAAGTTGATTATTAGTTAATTGAATGCATTATAGGGGAAGTAATGTTAGATCATGTACGAACGTAGCTCAGTTGAAATATGAAATATACAGACGAAACTTGTTTTTCAACTGAATTCACAACTCAAAACTTGTCCATGTCTTAGGCAAAAAAAAGAGGAAACTTGTCCATGTGTAATGTATAACTTTCCTCAAATCTACTTAACTTACCCAACACACCCGTTGACCTTTTCCCTTTTTATATCTACATTATATTAAAGAATTCGTCAATATTTTTTTCTTTCACTCTCCCTTGGACTGGATCTGATATCGATATATCTTTAACATGCTTGATCAGCCCATTCAGGCTTCAAGTGATGAGGGCTTACATTAGCCCATTATGTTCTACCCATGATTGATTGAGTTGCGATTATATTTTTGTGGGCTGAACAAAACTAATCCATTTGTTTCGTAGAAATTGACACGGCAGCGGAATGCATTTGACAGGACACGAAGACGTTTAGCACGATCCATCTCATCTCATCAGCCCTAAATTAAGTTGAAAACAAAAAAGAAATACATGGATGACTGGCGACTAGACTAGAGTGTGGATTCATTTTGGGTTCTTGATCAGGAATAACAAGGACTCGTCTGCCATTAATTTCCTTTCTAAAAAAGAAACTAAACAACAGTGACGTGCTTTTTTCTGGAAAAATAAAGAAATCAAGGTCAAATCTACAGTTGATAATTGTGTCACACAAGACATATACATAGACGGACGAAAGGAACTGTTACTATTCAATTTGGTTACCCGTCGTGCAGGAACAATTTTCTGGGCGTTTTAAATATATTTTTAACCCCCTGGTTTGACCTACTGTTTGACAAGGAAAAATGAACCAGTATGTCACTTGCGTTTTTTTAATTTTTATCCTTGTAATGAACAGTAATAGCGTATGAAAAACCTGATCACCGATTCCGTGGACGTTAACTTGAATGAATTTAGTATGATTAAAAGTCACAATCAGAAAACAAACTCTTGCTTTATAATAATTGAGTTGCAGCCAATTAACGATGATGAAAACCAAAAGGATAAAGTGTGACATATAATTGGTCCTCTGCCCTCCACTGTTATCTGTAATATGCATCACCGATTATGCTTTTAGAAAGTGAATTAACTTAATTATAATTAGTGTAGCCAAGATTCAAGGTTAGCTAACCGACACTACGTCATCACTTAAGTTACAATCTTTTGCTTAACAGGGACCAATAATCTTCAGTCTGCGGCATTCTTTTTTAATTTGCAAGGTCTTTTGCTTCCCCCTTTCAAGTTGCAAAAGTTGCAAGCATTCTTTAAGATATTAAATTTGACCATCACTACTTCATGAACATGTTTGTTAAATTGGATCTTAATCTTCCTTCTTGTTAATCTTAATATATTTATAAATGTACTTTGTGCACTAATTGCGTAACTACTCTTTATATGCCGTCTATCCAATACCAAGCGCATTGCGTCTTTGAATGAATCACATATTATAAAAATATCTTGTATTCAGGAATTAGTGCACATAATTTATTAGGGACTGTCTGTCCTGCAAATTCAGAAACCAACCAACTGTTTTATTGGATTCCTCTAACCCAGTTGATGCCTATATATATATAGGATATGTCGGCGCTAACAGTCATTTGACATGGATTGAATTAAGCAACCCGCATCATTTTCAGTATTGTTGCATTGCATATGCATTTTAAATTTAGGAAAAAGATCCATGAGCACAACATGCATCGTTGTGTCAACTAGCTCGTGTCCTTCACCTTGTTCTGGGACGACACGCTTTTATTGCCACAACAACCCAGTAAGTTGCAGACGATAGTGATACAGTGATGTGATTGCCAAAATAACATGTGTCAAATTCACCATCCCACATGGAAGGGGTAGCTACTGGCTATATAATAGTAAAGAGTTTTGCCATGAGTCAATCCACAAATTTAAGGAGAGAAACTCTCTTGCAATGGAGATAGCACTTTTTGCTATCCTTATCAAATAATACAATGATACATAGTATAATTTTTTTTACGTGTTATTGTGTTATTGGTCGGATATAGCAAAATAATGTTATTCCTGTTATAAGTAAATGTTTTTTGCAATTTAAGGATTAGGAAATTAATAAATAATTAATTTGGTTTTCAAGAATTTTTCAAAAGCCCAACTCAAAAACAACTTTAAAAAATCCCAATTTAAAAATAAAAAAAAAGGTTTTACAGTTTTTTTTTCTCCGTGTCCTCTCTCTCTCTCTCTCTCCTTTTCTTTTGTTAATTTCAATTTGGAAATCTAGGGTTTCTGATTTTCTGATTTTAATTTTTTTTAGAGGGATAATTGTCGAAATGTCATATGAACTTGTACCTCAGTTTCAATTTGTCATCTTAAAGAAAAACTTAAGAGAAATGTCACCTTAATTTTTCAAAATCCATGATTTGTCATCTGACTTTAACACCATCCAATTTTCAATCCATTTTAAGGGTATTTTAGTATTTCTCTCTCTCTCTCTCTCTCTCTCTCTCTCTCTCTCTCTCTCTCTCTCTCTCTCTAACCATGTATACTTAAAAAAAAATGAATTTTCCATTTTTAAAATACCCTTAAAAATTGAAAAGACTAAAATTCCATTTAAAATAGATGGAAAATTAGATGGTGTTAAAGTCAGATGACAAATCATGGATTTTGAAAAATTAAGGTGACATTTCTCTTAAATTTTTCTTTAAGGTGACAAATTGAAATTGAGATATAAATTCAGGTGACATGTCTACAAAAATCCCTTTTTTTAGATCTTAAAAACAAGTTTTTAGATGTTAAAATCAGTATTTAAAAACTCATATTAAAAAAAATCATGATTTTTGAGTTAAATTTTAATGGTAGAATACAAAACGGCCCTCAGATACCCTAGTAATATTGTAATAGAGACACGCATGTAATTCGCAAATTTTAATTTCGAACTGAGATGGAGCTCAGCTAAGCTTAAGCCAGCATCGGAGAGATTAACTCGGATCGGGCCGACCGCGACTTGCTTGTTGTTCCCCAAATGCCCAAATCTCTCGCCATCAATATATCACAACAATTATTAGGACCTGTGCTAATAATTAAATTTTTTATCATTAGGAGATCGTATTAATTAATACGAAGTCGCGAATCTACAAGAACACAAACAAAAACAAATTTAAAATATAGAAAGATGACAGTTTCATTGGTAACGTCGGGCTCCCATCCAAATATAAGAAATTGGATTGGTTCCTGTGGCTGTCGTTTGAGCCTATCAAAACCCTGCAATTTGTATGTATGGTGGTGGGTAAATTAAACTAATTAATATTGTTTGAGTACGATAGTTTAATTACTATATAAATAGTGCTGTATGTTAGTGTTGAAAATATAGAAACTCTGATTTGATTGGCGGTTTTGATAATGGATTATTATTATTTTCCGGATGAATGAAAATTTGGAATCTTGTAACAAGTTGCAGTGTGATCGCTGGAAAATATAGTATACATATATAATTGGAAACCTTTCAATTTCAAGGTTAGGTTTAGATACTATTCCATGGTCATGTAGCCTTGAATTATAAAATGATATCCATTACACGACAGAATCACACAGTAGATTGTTTAATGCCATGGATGATATTAAACACCAACTTGGAGAAGTTGTGCCGGCGGCTGCAAAGAAGTTGCTCCGAGTGTCTGAGAGGGCCATGACATGATATCCAGCTAGCCGAATGCATTTAAACAGCTCTTTGGAAACATGTTTTTGTTATCAATGAGAGAGTCAACAGTACTAAATGCAACTTTTCTGGATGTTCCTTTTTGGTGTCTTTATGTGAAAGAAATATATATATATTCATTTTCATATGAAACAAACATTAATGCGATTGATCCTCATCTGATCTGATTGTCTGTGCAAACTTAGGAGCCAATAAGTTTTTTCATCCAGTGTCTTGTCAATCAAAGGCTTAAGTTTCTAGTGCCTTGCTCTCCAAGCCTACTAGCAAATAAGCTAGGCATCCACTTCAGCAGTCAATATATACAGTGTCTTGTCAGAGGCTTAAGTTTTCTAGCTAGGCCAAACCAAATCAGTCGGCTGCTTCACCAAATACACTCGCACGTACGTTGACCTGTGCGAGAGATTTATAATTGGAAGATATTCCAAAATTGGGGCAAAGTTGACATGGAGAAGTCCATTATTAGTAATAAATGATATCTTTTCAAGATTATTACGTGAGCTTTCTGAGGGTAGAGATGAAAAATAGAAAATAAAATACTAGCTAGCTGCTGTGATCGGGAAATAGAGGGATGGTGGGGATTAATTAAAGGAATAAGGGTGTCTCAGTCAGATAAAGAGAGAGAGAGAGAGAGTTAATTTTCTGTTGCTCATCTGTTTTCCAATATGTATATCGGCAATATTGGACCACCCCCCACTTGCATGCACCATGGCTTAAACAATTCTGTAAAACATAAGATATCCATGCCATACGAAACAGAAATATTTCATGCCTGCAGAGACCCATGTTTTCTCATTAATCTCTCACTCTCTCTCTCTCTCTCTCTCTCTCTCTCTCCCCAAGACAAAGCTACAACTAGCTCTTAGATATATATATTATATGTTCGTCGACAAGCGATGTAGCCTTCTTTTTATCGGTTGTTGCATCCTCTACCCTTGAAACCATCCACGTCGCTTTAGTTAAGAGCAACTCCTCCAGCCCAACTTGCAGTGGTCTCACAGCATGCATGATTATCTCTGCATTTTCTTTTTATCTGTTTTGGCGTTCTCTATCCGACCTTCTACCCTCCGTAGCACCTCTCTAGTCCAATTCGATCTTGTCCTCCCATCTACTACTTCAATTTAAAACTAGCCTTCCTCTCTCTCTCTCTCTCTCTCTCTCTCTCTCTCTCTCTCTCTCTATACATGGCAAGAAAGCAAGGAGAAGTGAGCACCTCCTACTCTCTATCTCTTAGGCGCCGGGTTGATTAATTTCCTCATCCACCTGCATATATATACAAAGATAATTAACATAGGTTTGTTTTCCTTAATTAGGTGATGTGGCCAAGATTAGTGGCAAACAAGATTCTACGAAAGCCATTGGGAAGCAACAACTTTGTGACAGATTTTCCAGGCAACGACGGTCCGGATGGTATAGTGCTGGAAGCGCCAAGTTTTGATCAACCATCTTCCAACTCTACGTCCACCATCTTCAATCATCACAAGGACACTAACACACACAAGTACAAGTATGTACTTACCAATTCGATATTTCTTTCCCCAGGTCCACCATGAATACTTAAATTTGTACGTTTCTTGTTAATTAATATATTCTTATCTCATTCGTATAATTTGGTTTTCTCTTCATGAAGGGTTTTTGTTAGTACATGGAATATTGGTGGGGTGGAACCACAACAAGATATGAACATCAAGGATTGGATTGACACATCCTGTGACATCTATGTTTTCGGGTACGTACGAAATTTCATGATTCCAAAGTTGGATATATATATATATATATAGAGAGAGAGAGAGAGAGAGAGAGAGAGAGAGAGAGAGAGAGAGAGAATTAGTTGTTATGTTAAGAAGATTTTCAATGTGTCCAGGTTTCAAGAAATTGTTCCTTTGAAAGCCTCCAATGTTCTGGGATCTGAGAATAGTAGCATCTGCATGAAATGGAACTCCTTGATCAGAGAAGCTTTGAACAAGAAAACACACTACTACTCCCAAGAAAATTTGAAGCACGACAAACATGATCATGATGGAAACCCAAATATTATCGAAAGCAGCAATAATCCACGGGAATTCCACTGTATCATAAGTAAGCAAATGGTGGGGATATTAATATCTGTTTGGGTTCGAAGTAATATTCGTCCCTTTATTCGGCATCCAAATGTCTCTTGCGTTGGCTGTGGCATCATGGGATGCCTTGGAAATAAGGTACGTAAGTTTATATATACACGTACTTCATTCATGGTGATATTCAAGTTCAAGTTCTGGCATATAACTACTTTACTTGAGAAATCAATATATTACAATACTTAAATCTTAGTTTGTCTTGATTAATAATAATTTTCCTCTGGTGTGCTTGCAGGGTTCTGTCTCAGTCAGATTTCGGTTGCATGAAACAAGTTTCTGCTTTGTGTGCACTCATCTAGCTTCAGGAAGCAGAGAAGGAGATGAGAAACTGAGAAATTCTAACGTCGCCGATATATTGTCCCGAACAAGTTTTCCTAGAGGCCTTTTGCTTGATTTGCCACGAAAGATCCTAGATCACGAGTATGTTTGCTAAACTTTTGAAACGGTCCAAACAAATTCGTTATGTGCGGTTAGTTTGTTTATACATATATGTAATATTAGTCTCCTGAATCAACGTAGGTACAAGAAAATAAGACAAGAATGTACAACTAAGCTTAAGCACCATTATTGCTTCTTTCCAACTTTGAATTTGTCGTGACAAATTAAGAGCAGCCAAACCCTAAGTCTTAATTAAACAGTAAACTGTCTATATTGTCCTTCAAATTTGGGTTTTTATTTTAAACAAGTTGACTTAATATGTAATTAAAAAGTTAATATTATACAAAGCCTAGCTAGCAAGCTAAACTAGTTACTTATATATGTATATATATTCTCAACCAGGCGACTAATTATGCGTGGTTCAATATTAATATTGCAGTCGAGTAATTTTCCTGGGAGATTTGAATTATAGAATTTCCCTTCCAGAAGCAACGACGCGATCATTAGTGGAGAGAAGAGAATGGAATGCCTTACTAAAACACGATCAGGTAGTCAAACAATTACTTAATTATTATATTCTTAATTACAATATCAATGCTAATTTACTTAACTAATCTCACACCCAAGATTTGACATGAATAATTAATTTTGATTGGGATTATTAATGAAGCTGATGATGGAGCTGAAAGAGGGTCAAGTACTTGAAGGTTGGCATGAAGGGGCGATTCAATTTGCTCCCACTTACAAATATTGTCCAAATTCTAATGTATACTATGGATGTCGTCCTGCAAACAGAGGTGAAAAGAGGCGCGCTCCTGCATGGTGATTTTCAGTACTCAGTTAATTATATTAGATATAATTAATCTGCAAGTCACTAATTAAATTCATGATTATTAATTCATTCTTGGTGTCTTTTAGGTGTGATCGGATAATTTGGCGCGGAAAAGGATTGAAGCAACATGAATATGGTAGAGGTACATCAAAATTGTCAGACCACAGGCCTGTGAAGGCAATATTTACAGCTGAAGTTGGGGTTTTGCGAACATTGAAAGGATACCACAGCTTTTTTCTATCAGACAGATTAGACAAAATTTCAAGCCAGTTACAAGTATCCTCCGCCGATGATTTTCTATGTAAACCTAGCACCAAATCAAGAAGCTTCAAAATTTGAGTTATATACTTATATAAACAAGCACTTAGTTGTTTTGGTTGTATAACTCGGCGGATGAATGTACAGTGAAAGTCGGTTTGTGAAAAGCTGTTTGAGGCATCCTTTCGCTTTCGCTCGAATTTTATATAAATGAATGAAGGTTTGTTTTGGTCCATCAAGCAGTATAATTAATCTAATAATATATATGCTGATACAAAATTAATTGCAGATATCAATATATGATGCTCATGCTCCCCACCTGGGGCCGGGGTGTTGTAATTTGTATGCTAGCTAACCCCCATGCACCCATGTACCACATGCCCTATATTTTTAATCCAACTTTCCCAATGTTTAGTGCAACCCAGGAATCAAAGTGCATCAAAATTAATTTTCGGTCTCTTTTTTTTAAAAATTTTATAAAGAAAAAGAAAAGAAAAGAAAAGAAAGTGATCGAACCATATGAATATGATGATGGTATATGATTGGGCAGTTTGGATATATGAACCAAGTGGTGAGGCCATGGTTTCTAGTGGGACAGTGGGAACATCATTCTCTCAGGCATTTTCTAAGTGGAAGATCCATCATCCATCTGATCTTTGTTTCAATATAGCAGATATACCGAAGATATGATTTAATAACTACAACTTGTTCCGAAATAAATTATGGAGTTCTTTGTTTGTAGTCTACTAACTCCACACATGCGCATGCGATTCATTTTGGAACACAAATAATGCATTTAATTAAGAGAACCAGAAAAACATAGATACGTATCGCCACAATAATTCATTTCTAAATTAACTGAAGCATTGCAACTAGCTAATCTATCCAATTGTATAGAATTAACTGAAGCATTCCTCTCTTCTCAGCAGAGGCGGCGTCAACGTCGATAGAGGTAGTAACGGTTGCTATGCTGGTTCGTATGTGATGTGGAAGTAGACACAACGAAACACCATTGTCGTCATGATTTAGTTGCCGTTTTTGGCCTATATATATAGGGTTTTAGATCCAGTTCAGTGTTTGGAGTTACAATAATGAAAGTTACCAATTTTTGTGGCTTGAGGTTTAGCCGGTATGACGTTATGGATTTCTTCGGTTGCCGAATAGAATATGAAGCGGTGTTCTTGTTTCTTATTCTAAGTATATTACTTATTAGGAGTTTGCTGTATTTTTTATTTTAATTCTCAAGAACTCTTTAGGAGTTTGCTCTATTTTGTATTCCAATTTTTGGTTGCAATACAGATCTGCATTTTCTACCGTTGCTCTGTGGAAATGTATTGTTAGTCTGAGTACAAGTCATTCGAGATGCTGAGTCAAGGCGTTGAGTGTTTGTTGGTTTAGGCATAATTATCTTCAGATCAAATCAATATGTTGTTGTGTTTGGTCACTAGAGATGTTGTACCCATTTTGGCTCTTTTGTGGTTTTGTACTATGATATGTTTCATCAATAAGTGCTACCGCTTTTTCAAAAATATAAAAATAAGAACTTTCATGGTTCCCAAAATAACCCTCACCCATTCTCTGTTCCAAGGTAGTGAGCTGGCGCCCTTACACTTAAATTTTAGACTATTACTTATATAAATTTTTTTAATGAAAAAATCTTAGTTTACGATCACTTTGGGCCACAATTTTTGTTGGGGTTTGCATCTTTTTTAAAACTCCTTGCGCGTGCTATGTGAGTTGTCTTTTGCTTATTTGGGCTTCGGCCCACCGTTCAACCCAAAGAAAAAAGGTCAGACCAAAATAAAATTACCAAAAAAATTACTAGATTTTGGCTTTTAGGATCCAGAATAAAAATGTCCCAATTTCAAAAAATGGCGCCTTGATTGATTCAACAAAGCCAAGGCCACATTTCAAATTCCAGAGGCTTAGAGATGCAGAGAGGGTGCGCTTCGTCGGCTCTCCCTCTGCGAGCGCGCCTCATAGATTTTCTCATCCAATCTGCTCACGTACGTCAGTCTTTTTTCTTCTTTATCTGAATTTACTTTATTTTTATAGATGAATTGATTTTATCATTTTAATTCCTCAAATTATCATCGGAAATGTAAAATTTAGAAACTCCAAGTTGCTCCGACCGTGAAATATACGGCATTGTCAATTTTTGCTCATAGATTCTACCCTCGTTGTTTGTCCAGGTAAGTTCATCTTAATTTGTTTCATTTTTTATTTTTTATAGTAAAATTAATCATTTTTTGGTTTATATTATTATTATTTTTTCACTTCGCTTGACTTGCTTGTATATATAAAGATTGGAGGAACAAGGCAATGACGTGGAAAACTGGCTTTTGCAACCCCTGAGAGAGAGCAATTTGCAGTTGTTTGCGCTTGTTTCTCTATGGATTTCAACCAAAGTAGGTTCTGAATCATACTTGTGTCTCCTGCAATTTTTTTTCTTTCTTTTTTATAAACTTGACACTCTAATCTCTGTGTCCATATTGCCATGTTTTATATTATTTATAGATACACACTTCTCCTTGTTTGTCTGTGAAAATATTCAAGTCTTTGGGGGACAACATTATCAAGGAACAACACTACACCATTCGAGATTACTTGGAAGCAGTAAGCCTGTTCTTATAATTATGAAGTTGATGTAATTTGTAAATGGATCTTTGCCAGCAGCTTGTCCAGTAACATATTTTGTTTACAAATAAAGAATTTAAATCTTTTAAAACTCCTCAAATGTAGTGTATAGGTCTTTTTGACTCTCCAGAAGCTGTTGTCAAATAGACCCTTATAATTAAGATTTCAATAACTGCTTTACATTTCCGTTTATCATGTCACGTTGTGGTTGATCAAGTTGTTTTATAGGAGGTGGTCTTAATGCAGGTAAATTCATGAATTTCTTTTCTTTTTGTTCATTTTAATTATTTTCTATTGCACTAGTGTGCTGAGAGTTGCATATTCTTAATCCAAGGTAGTGAATTTTGAGATTGGTATGAACAATAGTGCTTTTGTATACTTTGAGGAGCTTTTACTTCAATTCAAGTAAGTTTTCATTACTGTCAGTTCCGTCCATTCATAATCTGCTTGTTTTCAGGTTTACTAGCTTCATTCCAAACTCCAATACATCTTTCCTGGATTTTTGAGTTCAGGGGAGTGGCAAAGGTTGGGGAACTTGTGAACTTTGAAGCAGGCATGGACATCATGGATCTGATTTATGAAAAGGAGGAGACATCCATGCTCTATACTAATCCTCATTCTCTTGCTGCATCAATCTTGGCATGTTAAATAAGATTGAACCTTACTACTTTTAAATATAGCCAATTCTGATTTTTGTTATCTTATTTTGATTTTATATTGTTTTGCAGGTTGTTTCATATGTCATCACAGTTCCTAAACAGACGTGGGAATTTCCTGTTGTTCCCTGGGGTAAGATTTCTTATGTTCTTGATGTGGTTTTTAGGGTTTTTTTTTCTCTTCAAATCCATTGGTTCAAATCTACACATAATTGCTAGAACTGTTTGACATATTCATTGTTTATCTTCTGCCCACAAACTGTCTAGCATCTACTAACAAGTTTGTAAAATATGTTTGAAAATTCTGAAGTTACCATGATGGGTGCATATTGTGTAATAGTATTAACTAGGGGCATGTTAAGTACTGTTGATTTGGGAATCTATGGTATATTTGTAGACAAGGCTATACGGTTCTTCCAGTTCTACCAGAACACTCAGTTTGCTGCTTTTGTGTATTTCAGACTTGTAACAAATGCCCTGTCGTGAGATATATCCTTGGTAATAGCTAATTCATGTGAAATATCCAACCCCTCGTTATCTCAGTTAGAAACTGATACGTTGCACCCTTCTTTTCTTCCTTTTTCTATACCTAACTTTTCGATCTCCCTTCTCCTACTTAGTCGTGGCAATTGGGCATGAGATTTCATTGGCCATACATCTCAAGTAGGTTGTAAGTTTAGAGTGCTTGCTCTTGCTGGTGATGAGCCCCCAAGTAGTCACTTTATCCACTGGACCCCTAGTTCTTACGAGAGAAGAAATGTATGTAAAGATTGAGATTGACACCCTCTTTGCCTTTGTGCACTGACTAATTGTCCCTCAGCAGTCCAGCCATCTCCCATTCCACAGCCTTGTTTGATCTTTTGACCACCGGCCATATCTATCATCAATTTAGTGGGCCTTTGCTCATATGGTTAAGTGTAGACTAGGTATTAGGTAGGTGGAATGCTATAATGAGGGGGCTGTGGGAGGGGTTCAATCCCACTAATCCAATAAGAGAGAAAATATTGGACTTAAACCTTTTTAATGATTGGATGGTTGGATTGAACCCATCACCAAAATCCCCCTCATTGTAGCATCCCCCGTCAGGTAGGTAAGCATCGGGATGTGTTTACTTCTTGACATTTGACAAGTGCTAGGACTGTTGTATCATTGCACAGATGTTGTTAAACATTCCATCAAGTTGCCATCTCCCTTTTATTGGTGCTTTGATCAACAACGGGTGGAACATTTTGCAAGCTATCTACGGTCTGATTTCAAAGTAGCAAACAAATGCTAAACAGGGGATTGGGATTTGTCATTTTAGGTTTCTGTCTGGATTGCTTGGTTGGTTGACAGCTTGACACGGAGTAGTGTACTAATTGAAATAATTTTTCTTATGCAGTTAAGTTCGTAACAGGATGCGAAGAAGAGGATATTCTAGAGATAGTCAGAGACGTTCTTAAGCATGTATTGGATGTTTCTTGCTAGATATAAGTTTCTCTCTCAATGTCAAGGCTGAGAACAGGGCAACGTGTCTGGTTTTGTACATCAAATAGGATTTCACCTGCTTGAGTTGAGCCTACACAAGTGACGGATGCACTTTATCCATTCCCCATGCATCTGCTGCTGGTAAATATAGCTAAAAATCATCAAATCTTTGACTACTTTTACAACTGGTTCAAAAATTCAAAAAAATTTACATATCGAGTCTTGGAGATATTGCATTGAAATTTTGGTTGATGAACAAAACGACACAGAAGAAAAGAAAGTGCTTGTGTTGGAATCCAATACGAATATAGGTCGATAAAGGGATAGGAAAGTTGAAAAGATGTAAAGAAAGCGGGTGTTGTGTTGGGCATTTCTTTTCGTCTTCGTATTAAGCACACAAGGAAGTACTTTTAAACGCACACGGCCATTTGATTGATTTTGGTCGAGAAGTAAAGTTGCCCCTACTTTTTCCTTCCTTTCTCTTTGTTGGGGTGGGGTCCCATTTGAAAACAAGAGAGATGCTAAAATAGCGCGTCAAGTTGTCCCCTTGTGGATTTGCTCGTCCATATTGAATTGAACCATCCAAGCTCCTTGGCAGGCGTTGCGTTGTATTTGTCAATTCAATTTGTGTTCTATTATAATATTGAGTTTGGTGGAGTCTTTGATTAAATACTTGAATATTTATGTATAATTTGGTTTTGTGAAGATGAGCAAATCGTAAAGAATACCGTTAGTTCAAGTGGGCTTGGACTTAAATACGAATAATCCATGTGATTGTAGCTAATTGGACTTAATACGAATAAACCATGTGCATTTAATATAATTTATCACTTTTGAACTTCAATCATATTATATTACATTAAAACACTTCATAATTTGAGCATAATATATTCATGTTATGAACTTATGATGCAGTAGCAGTATAATAATGTCCTTCATCTCTGCCCTCTTTTCTTTTCGTTTATTTTTTGGTTATGAATTTATGATGCATGCAGATGCAGTTATATATATAACAGCTTCCCCGCAGCCAAATTCGAATAATGACAATAATATCCGCTTGGAGGTTGACAGTATGAAACATGGGATGTCATATATACCTATTCATGATCGAAATTACCACAATTAACAATCGTGCTTGTACGAATCTCAACCTTAAAATGATGGTTCACTTTAATGTCTTTGTTTCAGGAAGGAACAAGTAATTATGAATTTCTGCTATTACATGTGGTAGGTGAATGCCTACCAAAAACCATGACAGAGACTATTAAATATGCTACATTATTCCCTATGAAATAAACAAACGAACTTATTTCATAAAGAAAATAAAAATAAAGAAAGGAGTTTATTGGGTTTTCAATCTTGATTTCTTACCATGTCAACCATGGCTTCAAGATGAACCGATAAATAAAAAATAGCTATAAAACAAAACACAATTGCGAGCAGTGAGAACATACATTAGAGAGAATATTGCTAGCATTTCTTTTGTTTTATCATGATATGAGACTGATTGAAGAAATGAATTGTATTGTATGTGCTTGAGTCATATCATATTGATAGATGTATGATAATTGACTCTAAATAGTCCTTAATTAAACATGTATAGGACATCGCCCTCAAGGCTGTTTAAGGCCACATTCCCATTAATTGTGTCGGCTAATAAATCCAAGCAACTAACCCCACAGTCACATTCTTTTAGGGCGTAATCGTACTAGTCTTCCCCACCCAACAACCATATAATCTATAAATTCTCTTTATTTTTTCTCCTTTCTTTTCTTCAAGGGCAGGCACTAGCTCTGATTTTTATCAACTTTTTCTGTGGACAAGGAAGGTGCTCGCAATTGGCTTTTGTAATGAGTTTTATCTTTTTCTCCTTTTTCAATCTCCCTTTCCTTTTCTTTTCTTTTACCTAATAATAATAATAATAATAATAATAATAATATATGTCTCCATGTGGTAAGTCGTAGAAAATGCCCAAGACTTGTTTGGTAGCCTAATTACCGTCACCATCATTCGGCACTGTACTAGTGTACCTCTTTACCAACTTCAGTACTACAGTCTGTTGAATAATATGAGTCTTATATTGAAAATTTAACTAAATAAAATATAATGAATGATTTTATTATTAATATCGCTTAGCCCTTTTGTAAAATCCCACATGTACTAAACTTGATAGGTAATTAAGTTAGAAACAATATTAGTATTGTTAGTAGTGGACTGTTGACTCATCTCTCTATACTTGTATTACAAGTATATAATTTCTATTCTCGTTGCCTAATTAACGAAAGTGGTAGAACTAATTTTTTATTTTAAAGATGGGATGTATTAAAATAACAAGATTCCACACTGAGATCCATTTTCATGTTCTTTTTTAAGCACTTTTTTCCTCACTGTCTATCTATCTGACGTGAAAAGCTTTTATTTGGGCAGCGGCAGAATCGCTTGGATTATATTATTCCTACTTTTCGTACCTTTACGAAATGACAAACCTTTTTTTTTCTTTTGGTGGGTGGGGTGCGCTTTCGTTCTTTAACTTATTTTATTCAAGGACTCCTCCAGCGTTGAAACCAACGACTAGATAGACTAGACAATTGTTATGGATAGACAGAATAGGGCTGGCTGTAGGAGGACTGCAAAAGGAAATGCGTAGGTCACTCAACACAAGAAGTAGATATATTATCCCAAAATGGGATAGTTTTTGAGATATTTCTTACGTTAATGATTTTTCTATGCATTCAAAAATGATGCAATTATGCAGGGCAGCTCGCTACATATATAAACACGTTAAATATTATATCATCTCGGCAGACCAAATGATGGAAATAATTATTTTTTTCTTTTTGTCATTTCAAAACAAAGACAAAAGTGTAAGCAGGGGTTGGGTGATTGAGTAGTGGTATAAAGAAAGAATGGTAATTAATCAGTGTTAGTGTTGGAAAAGTAATTGATCAAGTTGCTAGCTGTGGTGGAGAGTTGAAAAACAAGTAGGAGCTGAGGGACCAGTAAGGTAACATGAGAAATTTGATGGTGAAAGAGATAAACAAGATGGCATGGCAAATTGGCAAATTGGCAATGGCATCTTCTTTATATCATTGTTATGATCAATCAATCAATCCAATCCGTATTGAAAAACAGTGTTGGGTTGGGTCCATTGTCGTCCAATTTTTAATTTTCATATCCAGCTATAGTTTCTTTGTCATTGTTCTGTTGCCTTGTTTGAAGGTCGCTGGTGGTAGGTACCAAGTACCAACAACAACTATACTCTTTCTTTATCTCTCACCATCCATCACAGGATAGCACAAGACTTTGAGTTTGAGCCATTAATTAAAATCGATTCGTTTAAATTTTAAATTATTGGAACCTAATCCACCAAACTCACTAATAATTCTTAGCCATATGTGATAATTTTATTTAATGACATATATAACTGGTAATTATGTAGGTAGATCAGACGTCAATCATTGTTGGTTTGTTAGATTAGATATGCAGATCAGGTGATAATATATTAGATCCCTACTCCATTACGCCGGTACTTTCTAGGTTTCATATATACATTACAACTTTCCCATGCATTTCCTGTTGTTTTTATTAGTAATAAAATATGGCTCTTGCTCTTGGGCCAAAACATGTTCTTTATCTTCTGAAGACAGTTATTTTCTAAGACAAATCTAATCTAAGAACCACCGAACCAAACCACAGAAAAGCAGTCACAACACAAGCATAGCCCCAACCAATCTCACGTTTTCCACACTCGTGCGTGCGCATGGACTTTAATTATTTATATATGTTATGTCATTTTTTAGGCTTGTACAGAGAAACGCTGAATTTTTATGTGTTTCTGAGTACATAAAGGCTGTCGTTGGAAGTATTTCTGTGTTTCTGAGTTTCTGACAGACATACCAACCATATCGATGTATTGTTTTTCCTAGAAGCAACCAAACCATTTGATTTGATGCAACGCGAGGCACATAGGTTAATTATGAATTACCTTGAGGTACATATGCCATCATATTATATGTACAACAAGCTAGTACGATGTAAATATCGGGGGTGAATGAATGTCTTACTCGAAGACAGTGACCCACTGGTCTGGTGAATGTAAAGCTCACCACATTATGAACATTTGAAAGATAAGGTGTGCTTCTTCAAATATCTTGCTTGCTTACCTTCTTCTTTGCCTGTAATTCAAGCAATATTCTGAACCCATTACTGGAAGTCTGGAAAACATCAATTTATTAGCTAAATATATATCAAGGAAGAAGTTTCCAACAGCAATATTGCATCTGCTTTATTTTATTTGTAAGAAAAGAAATTACCGTGGTGCTGACCAGCTGCAGAAAACAATATACAACTACATATCATTTTCATGTGTACAAGGAAAGTTCAAAAGTTATACAGGTCTGTATTTCATAAATAAATAAAGAGGAGGGAATTAAAATGTCAAATCATCTTTTTTTTTTTTTTTTTTTTTTTTTTTTTTTTTTTAATGGATAAAACTTAACATCACGCACAGCTGTTATGATCTGAGTTGAGTCACTGTGGAGTTTGCACTCATCCCGCCACCACGCGCCTGTGCCCCATGAATTTCCAATTCCTGTTTCTGTCTGGAAACTAAACTCCACGCGCAGAAACAGATGCACTGCTTTCTCCCTCCTACTGTCTCACATGAGTCACTTCCAGAGAGAAAGAGAGAAGAATTAAAGTACATATAAAAATAAAAAAAAGAGAAACCCAAGAAATAATTTAGGCTAATGTGGCGCGCGCAGGATCAGATCCACCTGCTACACTTTCGCATTTTAGTCTTAACCTCAAGCCCATAGATGGTCATCTTCTTCGACCCAAAAAAAATAAAAAGATGGTCATCTTCTTTGTTATTTAATAATTGCTTTTGGTTTTCTTTTTTGCTTATTACTAAATAGTAAGTCCATTGCCAATAATTTTCTCTTTCTTTCACTAAAAGACTGAACCTTTACCATAATCATTTCTCCCTCTCTCTGTTGTTTATTTTTTCTTTTCTTTTATGTTCCGTTCCGTTCAAAGCCCATCTCCGAGATCCTTTGCTTCTTCTCATTCTTTCACATTTTCTTGAAAATTTTGAAAAAGAAAAAAAAAGAGCTAAAGGAACTAGCTTGGTAGTAAAGACTGAAGGGAAGGCTTCAGATCTAGGAGGGCTAAGGTTGTTTGAGGCAATGGAGACATGCCCAAGTCTGTCTTGGTCTCTTGGTCTCTCTTTGACTTGAGAAACACTTATTAATACCTCTCTCTTTTACTCTCTTCCTTCTTGCTTTTCTTTTCTGTAAGCCTTTTCATTTGACCTCTGCATCTTCCAACCTCTGCTTCATTTTTGTTGGGTTCTCTTGGTTTATTGGGTACTTCAAAGCCCACCAAGAAACTTGCTTCTACTTCAATTTCTAGAGAGAGAAACAGAAAGTAAGTGAGAGAGATCTGTGGAAAATGCTGGCTCTTGGAAGTCCTACCATCAGAGTCCGTACAAGCACCAACTGCAATGTTTTACTCAAAGAGCTTCAGGTCTTTCTCTGTTTTGGTTTCTTGTTCCTTCTAAAGAGTAAAAGCTTGAACTTTTTTTTGTTCTCCAGGAAGATAGCGTGTGGGTTCTTCTTCTTCTGCTGTTGTATGGAAATTTGCTTTTTTCAGTATGGGGTTTTCAGCAACTTTAAGTTGTGTTGCTCTATAAAAAAGAAAGCACTGATTATTTCTCTAAAATGTGTCATAATGAGTCTAAGTGGAGCTATAAATTAGGCTCTTTTTTGGTTATTTGAAGTAGAAAAAAAAGTACATGTCTTTGCACCTTTTTAAAGTTAAAAAGTTCCGTAGGAGGTGATCTGTTCACCATAGTTTCAAACTCAGTTTCTCTTTTTTCGTTACTGTGGTAGATTGAGCATGGTTTCTATAAAACGTGTGTTTGAATAATTTAGTGGCTTCTTATGTTATATTTTTATTTTTTTTCTTCAACTGGATTTCTCCAATTTCTTTATTTTTCTTGAATTTCTTTGTAAAATCATGCCAAATTTGATGGGTTATCTGTTTTGTACTGATTGTCTTGTTTCTTTTGTGCGTTTGAAAAACGGGGTCTTCCTGAATTGTAAAGTTCCAGAACAATGTGTTTGTTTTGCTATCTTTATTTCAATCGGATTTTTGAGACCAGTTTTCTGTTAACTTGTTTCTCTTCCTATTTTGGTGTTTGGTTTCTCCTCATGCGAAGTGGGGTATGACCGTATGAGATTTGACTTTCGTTTGGTTACTTTGGATTGTTTTAGACTCTTTTTTCTTGCAAAATGTTCAATTCTTATTACCAGTTGATAGAAATTTAGGTTATTGATTTTTATTTTCTACTTTCCATAGTTCAGCATTATTTCTTTCTCCATCTCAATTTTTTTTTCTTTCTGATCTGTTTCTGCTATGCAATTTTTGATGTTGAATAGTTCATGGGAGGAAAAGAAGGATGCATGGTGTTTTAATTTCTGATTCAATTTGATTTACCTGTCAGCATTTGGTTACTCTATGTCAAATAAAATGTTTGTGACCCCATTTATATGTTGCAAGTTTGCCAATCTCTCCCTGTTACAAAGGAGAAAGATAATTTAATCCACTGATTCACGTTTCAACAATAACTGTTTTTGTGTTTGGCCTTTTCTTATGAGTGCAGCAAATATGGAATGACATTGGTGAGAGCGAAGCAGACCAAGACCGCATGCTGTTGGAGTTGGAGAGGGAATGCTTAGATGTTTACAGGAGGAAGGTTGATGAAGCTGCCAATGCCAAGGCACGCCTTCATCAGTCTGTTGCAGCCAAAGAAGCTGAGCTTGCAACTCTAATGGCTACTTTGGGGGAACTCAATATTGATTCACCGGTAAGGAATCCATTGGAACTTTGTTATGGTGGAAATGATGATTTATTGACCATTGTTCTGATTCCTCGAATTCTGCTCTACCAATTTAAACCTGCATGGCTTCCGTTTAGTAGTGATTCTATATATCAGTCCAGAATTATATGTTTTTAATTCCTAGGTCATCAGATGTAGGCAAGAATGATAACAAGTCATGAATTGGCATGAAATTTTGCGTCCTGTTTGGTGCCTAAATAATCATATTCCATCTCTAGTTACTGTTTCTAAATTGGTAGTGATGTAGAATTGATTCCCATCACTTAATGTCATGTATAGAATTTATCTGGTTGATGATGCATTTGTTTCTTCCAATTTTTCTGTTTCCATGATGTGTTTCCCAGGCTTTTAGAAGCTTCCATTCTTTGTCTCATACATTTACATAGATGTGCACATACACATACGTGTTTTCATGTTGGATGTATATGCTGCAAGGTTTTCTTACATAAACAAAGTACAAACCAATATTTTTTTATGTTGGTCATCCGATTCTTCTTAAATTTTACAGATACAGAGGGAGAAGCGATCAAATTCATTGAAAGAGAAACTTGCATCTGTGGCACCACTTGTGGAAGATCTAAGAGTGAAGAAAGAGGAAAGAATGAAGCAATTTTCAGATATAAAGGGGCAAATTGAGAAGATCAGTGGGGAGATATCTGGATACAACCATCTCAACAATGCTCCAGTCAGTTCGTTAACCCTGGATGAACATGACCTATCAGTGAGAAAGCTAACTGAATATCAAGCACATCTTCACACTCTTCAAAAAGAGAAGGTAATTGCAGTTATGTGTGGCTGCTTGAAATATAATGAGTTGTGACACCCTGGTTCAATGGTTACCATGTAATTGCAGTTATAAGTCTGTGCAAATGAAATTTAGCCAGGTTGCTAAAGTTGGGGGGGAATATTGATAAAATTCTTAGTCTGAAGTGTCAATAAGAATAGTGGCCTCATTCACAGACATTTCCAGGAGGTTACAGCTCCATTGTTGTTAGCTAAGGATCATATTTGGCTTTGAACATAATTGAAGCTGAAGTGACTCTGTTACTTTCTGATAATACATTGTGGGTTAATTCTGATAAGTTATAACCAAAATTTGTTGGATAAAAAGAAAGTTGTCATAGATAAGAAATTGTTTGCATTACTAGATGCCTTGCACTGATGTAGATTGCATTAGTTTCTTATATTTTCTGATAAGTTGATTATACTTCTGTTTTGACAGTCTGACCGCCTTCATAAGGTTTTGGAATGTGTAAATGAGGTTCATTCTCTTTGCGGTATGCTTGGCTTGGATTTTGGCCAGACTGTAAGTGAAGTGGATCCTAGCTTGCACAGGACAAGCATAGAACAGTCCACAAACATCAGCAATAGCACATTTGAAGGCCTAGAACAGACCATTCAGAAGTTGAAAACAGAAAGGAAAGCTCGAATCCAGAAGGTAAATTGCTGATCCTACTGTAAAAATCTTTTGATTCTGACTTTGGAATCATAAGTATAACCCTTTTCCAAAATGCAGCTAAAAGATATTGTAGCGTCACTCCTTGAACTTTGGAATTTGATGGACTCATCAAGAGAAGAAAGGAGTAAATTTTCAAGAATTACTTTCATTCTTGGAAATTCAGAACCAGATATTACAGAACCAGGCTTTCTTTCAACAGATATTATTGAACAGGTTGGATAGCAATCTCATTATCTTTTCATTTTAATTCTTTGAAAGTTGAAATTAAACTTTCTTCTCTTCTCTTTGACAGGCATCGGCAGAAGTGGAGAGACTCACTGAATTGAAAGCAAGCAGAATGAAAGAACTTGTTATGAAAAGGAGGTCAGAATTAGAGGAAATGTGCAGAATGGCTCATATTGAACCTGATACAAGTACATCTGCTGAGAAATCAAATGCATTGATAGATTCTGGTATGAATCTTCACGCAGTCTTAAAGCCAGTTAATTAGATGCTTTTATGTTAAAATATATTGGCAAGGAAAATATATGAATTTGTATAAAAAATCTTGTTTTTGTTCAGGTCTAGTAGATCCATCTGAACTTCTGGCAAACATAGAAGCACAGATAGTCAAAGCTAAAGAAGAGGCTCTGAGCCGGAAAGAAATAATGGATAGGATAGATCGGTGGCTATTTGCATGTGAAGAGGAAAATTGGCTCGAAGACTACAATCAAGTAAGCTTTGAGAAGTTCTGGTAGTTTTCAACATTTCATGATACGAGAAGGGAATCATACTTAGGAATTTATGATTTATTCTCTCTCTCTCTCTGGCTGTTTTACTTATTCTACTTCACTTCATCTTGTTTAACATACTTCTGAAGTTAACTTTGATTCTTGTACATAGACAAGAATCCATCTTTAAGATGCCATGGTTGATTACTAGGGCTTCTAGTTTGTACACCTTTTTGAAAATTTCTTATTGAATTCCAGGATGAGAACCGGTACAGTGCAGGGAGAGGTGCTCACATTAACCTTAAACGAGCAGAACGAGCTAGAGTGACTGTAAACAAAATTCCAGGTATTGTTTTCTCTAGAAATCACTTCTTTATCTGAGGATTCAGCACTGGTAGAGCTAACGAGTTCTCTTTCCAGCAATTGTTGACAATTTGATAAACAAAACGCTGGCCTGGGAAGATGAGAAAAAGATGTTATTCCTTTATGATGGGGTGAGTTACTTTGCAACAAAAGTTCTTGGATGTGTTTTTCTGTGATGTCCGCTGTCTTGAATTTTAATAGCAATATTTGCAGGCACGACTGGTGTCGATACTGGAGGATTACAAAGTGAGCAGGCAGCAAAAGGAAGAGGAGAAGAAGAGATCTAGGGTAATTTAACTAAACTGTTGTCATCGATGGTATGACATTAAAGTAGACAACAATTACTGGGAGCCCATATTCGCCTGGAGCTAGAACCATAGAAACTGGCGTAGTTTCTTTTGTTCAACTTATGGCCTAACTATGTTTTGAAATGATCTTATGGATGATATCTTTAACATTGTTTTCATTTATAGGACCAAAAGAAGCTCCAAGATCTGCTCCTCACAGAGAAAGAAGCCATGTATGGGTCTAGACCTAGTCCTAGAAAAAGTACCAGCTTTAGGAAGCCAAATGGATATCGCTCAAATGGGAATGGATCAATGACTCCCACACCTCGTCGGAATTCAGTTGGCAGCGGAACTCCTGAGCTCTTGACACCCCGATCTTACTCTGGGCGGCAAAATGGATATTTCAAGGAAATGAGAAGATTGTCTACTACACCACTGAACTTTGTGGCCGTATCAAAAGAAGATACAATGTCATATGCATCTGTTTGTGGTTCTGTGCTGGGATCGCCCCCTCATGATTGATCTTAATTATTGGAAATGGTAATGTTTTGTTATCATCAACTTTCCCCACTGTTTATGCTGTTGATATTTTATGCCACCACTCTAGTGAATGTGCTAATAGAAATTCTTGCAATTGCACTCTACATATGCAATCTCAGAAGTTATGTGTTGGCAACAAATATTTTGCTCCCTCAGCGGTCTCCACATTTGCGTGAATCTTGTTCTCGAGTTGATCTGATTAGACCTGGAATTTGGTGGTATTCTTGCAGGAACAGGAAGCTGTTACAAGCTAGACGAACTTACACTCACTTAAAGCAGCAGAAACCTTGTGAATATGGAGGGGGTTACTAGTTTATGATTGTAATTTGATAGGATTACATGGAAAGAGAGGTGACGACTCTGCTAGGTAATAGGTCTTGGAATTACTCGTTAACTTTAGGACTTGCAAGTCAATATAGAGGAACTAAATATGGGAGTGTTATAGTAGTGTTGACCATGTCCTTTGTGGATTTTGCATGTGTTTCACGGTTTCACGTGTATATATGGAGCTCCACTTTGGTGGCTACCGTTACCCGTTTCATGTGGGTGAATCTGGTATATTTGGAAGATATGGATGTTTGTAGAATCTTAGTAGTGATGCTGCTCCTGGAAAAGAAATAGTGAAGAAATCTGTAGTCTCTGCAATTTGTTCAATTTGGCCCGCTACCTAAAGCAAAGCAAAGCCCTGGGAATCTGTATGCAGTGAACATGCTTTTCTGTTTGTTCTTGTTCAACTTTTTGATTGGCCATTATACCAAAACCTTAATTAAACATACGAAACCAAAGCCACCCATGATGAAGACTGAGCAAATATCTGCTAAGCGAGCATTTTCGTAAGTAACCGTCTCTCATGGTAGGGCAGGATATGGGATCACGTACAACCTTCGAACCATGTCCTTCAGTGCTTCGCAGCTTACTAGGTTTGAGTTAGGAAATTGTTAACTTGTTTATGGAATAAATAAAATTACTATATTTTTATGAATGTAATTCAACCAAATCAAACACCATCCAGCAACTCACAAGTTGTATTAAAAGACAAAAGGGGAAAAATGGAGAGATTCGTTTCTGAGAATTACTTGCTTACTGTAGCACACTTAAAACTGAAACGAAATAATTACAGTAAAAAAATAGGGTTAGCAACACTGTGGGCAGAAAGTTGTGGAGTTGCTTAGCGGCCAATCTGGTAGTAGCAGACAGCAGAGAATAGAGAGTGCGTGTAAAAGAAGAGAGACTTTCTCGAGGGGAGCGAGTGAGTGAGAAAGGCCAGTGGGCTGTCAGAATCTTCTTTTGGGACTCCGAGAGAACAAAAACGGAAAATAGAAAAGATAGAGAAAAAAAAAGGCCAAAAAGAAGAAAAAGATATAAAAGAGCGGAATGGATGTGGTGACATTCGGTATTATAATCGGCATAATCGTGCTTTTCTTTGCTGCTGTTTGTTTTATCACCATCGAAGGAACCTGCAAACGCCGTCCTACTTAGTTTCCACTCTCCGCCCAAACAGCTCCTTAAACCCCACAGTCTTTAACGGCAACCTTAAATTTTGATAGGTACAATAAAACCGACCTCAACCGACAACTGGGTTTTGTCAGAAAATGGCGTTTTGTACGAAAGGTATGGTCTTGGTTGTTGCTTTGGTTCTTGGGCTCTGTTTGGATCTGAGTTTTGCTTCTGGGTCTTGTGCATCGGCGGCTCACGAGTCTCCTGCTCACCACCACCACCACCACTGCGATCATGGGCGTGACCGTGACCATGACCACGACCACGACCACCACGGGGAGAGCTTGTTGGGGTCAAAGCTTCCTGAGGAGGAGGATATGAAATTGTACGGATTTGGATTTGATCAACATGGCCAGGATCATGGTCATGATCACGAGCATTTTGGTGCTTTGCAGCTCTCAGTTACCGGTATTTCTTTTCATTTTTAATTACGTTGGATGGACTTATATTTACGGTGAATTTTTATTTTGTTTTTATTTTCTGGGTCTTGTTCAGAAACTTGTATAATGTGTGGAAGCACTTGATTGTTTTTGCATTACACTACTGCTTGGTTGCTAAGAAAGTGCATGAAACAAATTGAAAATTTTGAAGAAGGCATTTGGTGAGTACAGCAAATTTTTGGTTACGTGCACATTGGAGGATAGACGATGAGATGGTGACAAATTTCCCAAGGGAGTAAGAGTCCATTATTAACATGGAACAAAATGTAATCAGCATAGAGCATAGAGAGAGCTCTTGATTTTGTCTATGTACCACATTGTGTACCACCTCTCTAATAGAAGTAGGTTCCATTGGATAGGTGGACTCTACCTCTATTAGAGAGGTGGTACACAATGTGGTCTCCCTAGCATTACTCATAACCATAATACATGCTTCAGTTCTTTCTTATGTATTGTGTCACACCAAAGGAACTGATTTCAAATGTGTGAGCCTGAAACCTTATTCTTATTTCTTATTTATTTTTGTAGGTCTCTGGTTTCATTCCTTGGGCTGCTCGCTTTTGGTGAGTATGGCTTCCCTTATTTGCCTGATTATCTTGCCAGTAATATTCGGTAAGTGACTTATGTGTTACTTATAAATTCTTATTGACTTCAACATTGCCTTTTCCCTAATTAAGTGATACATTTTGCTTCAAGAAGCCTGTCCCAAAGACCAACACTGAATTTATTGCATTATTGCAGTACAGGGGAAACCATCCAAGGCAGTTGTTGATTCGTTGGCTTTATTTGGGGTCAGATTCTTCAGCCCTGTTTATTTAATAGAATTAGTCAAATTTGATATGGTTTACATCTCTTGAGTACCTATTTAATACGTCTACTCTAAGTTACTTACTGCTTCTCCTGCTTATCTCTTCTTTTATTTACTAATGTTTCTGTCTGAACTTTAAATCATGAGTCACATTCAGATTTGCACAACTTTCTATTTCAAATTTTCGATATTTTCCTGTTGACCTTTATAGTTCTACTGTTGAAGGTTCAAGTGGTATTTCTTTCTTCATATCTGCATAATGTTTAATTGGGTGTTGTTATCTGTGTTAAGACTGTCAGCAATTCAAAATCAGAAATTTAGGCTATGTGAAGTATTTCTCTATAATTATATAGAACTTTGACCATTGCGTTAGCTCTTGCGTTGAAGTAACTGAGTACATATTGTGGTGGTTTTTGGAAGTTCGTTCACTGTTTTACCTAGGTCTGAACATAGCATAGAATCTTGAAGTCAATGCCTGGCCTGATTGCTGTCTAAGTTGCCTAAAATGTAGATTGCTAAAGTATGTGAAATGGGAATGGGAATTTGATAATGGAATTTGAATTTCATTTGCAGGCTGGAGCTATGTTAGGAGATGCTTTCCTTCATCAATTACCACATGCCTTTGGTTTGTCATTAATCCAATATGACATTAATCTTTATATTTTGGTTGTCTGTTACCCATAATCTAATATTTGTTGCAGGTGGAGGACACTCCAGCTCACACGACGACCATGTAGGCCATTCCCATCATGATCATATTGGACATGAGCATTCACATTCACATTCTTTGAAAGATCTTTCTGTAGGATTATCCATCCTGGGTTAGTACTGTCTTAACCATGCATCTCTGTATGTTTGCATGAATACATGTCTGTCGGTGCGCAGATGTGCTTACCTATGCGTCCGTGGCTATATTTATGATTGTTTGTGCGCATGTGTCTGCTATATAGTAGTGCTTTCTGACATGATATTTGAAACTGGTCTGCATTCCCATACTAACATAGAAGGTGAAAGAAAAAAAAGAATAAAGGAGATAGCTGGTGATTTCAATACTGGGTTTTATATGATTCTTAATTGGTTCGACTTATTAATTCAATTTTAAAAATTGAGTGGGCATGTATTCTATAAATTTCTGTTTCTGGTTTGTTTGATACTTTTGTCTTTGTAGAATTTCCATCAAAATCTCTACCCCTGCTAGAAAATAAAGGAAATTTTTTGTCTTGTTTGCTGCCATTTCTTTTAACCAGTGAAAAAAAAACAGAAGACATGGAAAAATGTTTTCTTTGGACACTATTCAATGCCTTATTACCATATTTGTTGTTGCAGCGGGAATTGTATTATTTCTTCTGGTAGAAAAGTTGGTGAGGTATGTTGAGGAAAACTCTGGAGGAAGTAGTGCATGGAGTCATGGTCATCATCACCATCATCATAAGACCAACAAGAAATTGAAGGATGATAATGATTCTCATGATGACTTGCAGTCAGAATCTTCCAGTGGAAAAGATAGAAGGAAGCTGAAGATGTCATCTGAAGAAGAAGCGGCAGCTGAAGTTTCAAATGATTCTTTGATGGAAAATAATCAACATGACTCTCATATTCGTAAGGTGAGTTAGTTCGCATATTGATTTAACTTCCAACTTCATAAATTTTGTGTTCCTCCTTCGTTTATATGCATCTTGTACAGAAGTATCTGAATAAGCTTTGTGTTGGATGATAAAAATAAAGAAATATCTGAATTCTGTGCCCAATCTAATTTTGTTAATAAAGTTTAATTACTGGACTGCAATTGAAGTATTGGCATATTTCCATCTTGCAGAGAAACATTACGACTGGTGATAAACAAGATGTAGCTGCTGCAGATGACTCCAACCGTGATGCTAAGTCCTCAGATGGAGAACCTACTCGATCACCATCAAATCTTGTGTTTGGTTATCTCAATCTCTTCTCTGATGGTGTTGTATGTTTTTCTTCTTATTTGCAATCAAGGTTGTATTTTAAACAAAACATGATTCATGATAAGCCTTATCATCTTATTGAAAGATTTGTTGCTGGTGCAGCACAATTTTACGGATGGGATGGCTTTAGGAAGTGCTTTTCTGCTTCATGGATCTGTTGGTGGGTGGTCTAGAACTCTATTCTTGCTTGCGCACGAGATTCCTCAAGAGGTTTGAGCTCTCTTTTTTTGTTCATTTAATACAAGGGCATCAACGTCTTCCTATGTCAAAGAGGCAGTGTTAATACTGTATCGAGACATGGTAATCAATTATGTTATGGAAAATAAATGTAAGCCCTCTTCATGCAGGAAATGTTATCTTTGTCTAGTAAGAGAGTGTGTTCCTTTAAGAGTTAATTCAGCAATGTTATTTGTTACTGAGTTTCTCTCAAGTCTGAATTTCGCTATAGGAGTATGGGTGGCAACTTTTTTGGTAGAAGTTTGGTGATCTTTGGATTGGCAGTAATGAGCATATTATCTTGCGCTAAGCATTTAATCCCCATGATGCAAAGTGTCCTCTCCTCCCTGGTCCCCCCAATATGTTGCCGAAAAGGTGTATTAGTAGGATTAGGGCTCATATTATGGTGGATGGGCTAATATTATAGCATGATTTACCTTTGTTTCAGGTTGGTGATTTTGGTATTCTTGTAAGGTCTGGTTTCAGTGTCTCCAAAGCTCTGTTTTTCAACTTTCTCTCAGCACTTGTGGCACTAGTTGGAACCGCAATGGTAGATTATTATCTCTGCAGCAGGGTTATTCCATTTTAATTAGTATCTTCAGTGATTGAAAAAAGAGATTAATCTGTTGCTATTGATGCAGGCTCTGCTTTTGGGCAAGAATCCAGGACAGTCATCTTTGATTGAGGTGACAAGAATCTAGCCCAAGAAGGCGTTGTTTGAACATTTGGTTTTCATGATCTGAAGTAAATGTATTTTAATTTGTTGAATCTGTTTTCAGGGTTTTACAGCTGGTGGATTTATATACATTGCTGTTGCTGGAGTGCTTGCAGAAATGAACAACAATGGCAGCTCATCATTGAAAAGCACGGCATTCCAATTAACTGCATTGATACTAGGCATGGGAGTTGCCCTATGTATTTCTCTTTTTGAATGAAAGTTGATTTAGAAATTGGGACGCGAAAGTCAATCCAAATGTACTGCACAGGTACAATAGTCAAATTGCAATTATCTCCTTGTCCGCCTAGTGCCACGGCTGATAATTGTACGGTGAGTGTGGAAAAGGGACATGTAGATAAAGTAAAGAAGAACGTGGTTAACCTTGCCTCTGTTCGTTCTGGGTAATGTCAGAGGGTGAATTCATGATCTTTACGGACGGTGATCCAGGCAAGGTGGTGAACATGCTCTTTTTTCCTTCCCCGTATTGGAGAATCAACATGCTTTTGTTAACTGCCAATTATGAGATTACAGTTGCTCAATATATTTTGCTTCTCCTGATTTGGATTAGCTGGTTTTAGAACTGCTCAAATATAAAGCTTGATATTAAAATGACTTTATATATGCCGTGAATCGAAGATCCGTTCTTTAATGACACAGAAGAAATGCTAATTCGTCCTTCAATTAGGGGGATTAGGGGGGCGGTGCTTTTTCCTGAGGCTCTGTTGGACAGCTTGAAAGGTCTTTTTGTTCTTGATTGGCGGCATAGGAATGCGTGGTTTGAATATGGCTTTTATTTGTTCTTGCTTTAAGTTCCGGTTCTGGACATGTTTCCAATTTTTTGCATTCTCTTATGTGCCATGTCTTGGGACTTTCATGCAACGGGGATAACACTTTTTGCTATCCCGGTCAATAGCGCAATGACAAGCGGAATAACTTTTTCACGTGTCATTGCATTATTGGCCTGGGATAACAAAACAGTGTTATCCCCGTTACAAGAAAGTTTTTCTGCTTGTGTTGAAATGGCCATAGGGACTTACTGAGCAGAGGTCCAGGTGAAGCAAAAGCTCAGTGTAATTGCCCAAGTAACAAGAAATAGAATCTGAACATACGCCAATGAAAGTAGAAAAGGTCCATGCTACATTTCAGCTTTCTATATCAGCTACAATATATGTGATCAAGATTCAGGACCATTTTCTCATCACCCAGTAATCAATAATCAATAATAGGTTGTCAATCAAGACTCGAACTTGTCTAACTGCTGAAGCATTTGAAAGATGGTAATGCTCTGGGTTGGGAGAGAAGGAATGGGTGGCATTCGCCTTAGCGGTGATATCATATGGTCGCCGCGGGTGAGAGTGTTGTGATGCCTCTTACGCACTGCTCGAACAGCAGGAGGCGGCTCTGCCACTGCCACCACCATCTGATCCATTCTTGGTTTGCTGTAAGTTGCTGCAGCAGCAGATGATACTTCTGTTCTCTTACGCATGGCGCTGCTCTCTGACGACCTTTTCTCCTGCCTTCCTCCGTCCTGTAAATGCATTTTACATGAGACAATATCAATCTGCATATGTAACACTACCAAGGGTTACATATATGCCTCAGAATTTTTGTACAAATTCCATGCATGTAGTTCATCAGTATATCATAACAAACTCGTAAGATCGACCTATATCTCATATTGGAACAACAAAATAACAAATTTCCTACAAAATGTTGAAATGCAATGCTGCTTACATAAGTTATTTATATATACATGCAATTCAAAAGTTCATTAGGGTGCTTATTTTCTTACATCAAGATCTACACTAACTAAACGAAAAATATATGAAAAAACAAGTATGAGAAAACGTTCATCATAAAATTGTACATATATATATATAAATATATATGTAGTAAGAAATGCATACATATATATAAGATGAACATTTGATGCTGCATGTGCCACTATACATTTGAAACATTCTCTGGTTTAAGCAAATATGTGTATGTAAGGTGAAATAAATGAATAATGAAACTTGCTTACATTGATAACAGAAGAGTCGGGCATGGGACATTTGACAGGGCGATCTTCATCGGGTGGCTCCAAAGGATGTTCTACTGGCCAGAACTGGAAGTCGACTTCAAGCTGCACATGATTATGAGGAGCTTCCATACCACACCCCCAGCTGCTGTGTTGCTGCTTCTCCCTCGTTTCATCTAAAAGCGCAACTTCACTTTCCTCTCCTTCCTAATTAAAATGGAACAAGATTAAATCAAATTAAATAACAAGATTATAGAATGTACCCCACAAACAGGCACACTCACGCACCAAATACATTATTCACAGTGTATGGAATGGAAATCTTTCAAAGAGAGAGAGAGAGAGAGAGAGAGAGAGAGAGAGAGAGAGAGAGAGAGGGAGATAAAGCGAGGGCACTTACAAAACCATCCCCACATGAAAATCCCATAGAGATGTTGTTCATAGTAGTGTTGTTGTTGTTGCATATATGCCAGAAAGAGGCAGAGAAATTTTGTGTGTGTGTCTCTGAGAGAGAGAGAGAGAGAGAGAGAGAGAGAGAGAGAGAGAGAAGGGAAAGATAGAAAAGAGAGCTGAGGGAATGAAAAGTAGGAGTAGGAGTAGTAAGTAGCCTTGTATTGTAGGGGGTGAGAGAGAGAGAGGTGGCGGTGTGGGATGGTTTGCACAGTAGAAAGAAAGATTCCCACCATTTTCGTCTTTTTGGATTTCCTCAACGTCCTAACTTTATTTTACCCCTTTTCTTTTCTTTTCTTTATTGGGGGTGGTTTGGGCCCTCCCCTCTCCCCTTCCCCTTAATTGCTGCTCTTTCTCTCTCTTTCACTTTGTTTCTTTAAAGCAACAGTACGTTCTTTCGACAAAAAAACAAAAACAAAAACAACAGTACGTTCTACCTCTGCTTAGTTAAATCCTTTTTTAAAAAAAAATTTAAAAAAAAACCTTACAATCTCCTACTTTGTGCTTTTCATTGGTCTGCAGAACATGAGCAGAGGAAACGTATGAGAAAGAGAGAGAGAGAGATGAGCTATGTTGCTTTATTTGCCAAGATCCGTATCCTATACTAGCAGAAAGCAAACACATTCACACACACACACACAGAGACTCACAGGTAGAAAGCACGAGATGCACACTTTAATTAATTTACTAGTAGCTGGCCAGTTAGCCGCTTCATTTGTTCATTCATTTCGATGCAAATTGCAAATTGCAAATTGCAAATTGCTTGTTTTCTAAAAGAAACAAAAAAGCAATTTGCTCCCTCGCTGACTCACAATCTCATCATTTCAAGATTTTGTTGTCTCATCTACTTCTGTTCTGTGACTGTGTCTGTGTCACTGTCACTGTCTTATGCATGCATGTTAGTTATAGTACTACATGTTTCTTGATATCATAAGTTGTCGCAAATTCTGAATTTGAAATATGAATTAGCAGCAGTAATGACCAACTTCATGAATTTTTTCTTTAATTAATCCTGTCAACTTCATCAACTCTTCTCTTCAATTGTTCATTTTTCCTTAAGGGAGCTCCAATTAGCCATAACATTTGGGCTTTTACATCCTCTCACTTGATCCAAAACAACAAATAAGATTTGAGCCTTTGCCTCAAATTTGGGCCGAAAGTAAGCCCAATGCTTTATTAAGCTGGATCAGCGACCATAAATTAATATCTTCTGCAGGCTGAAAAAAACAGAGGGCTTGGACTTGAGTCGAGGGTCAAAGCTCACCTCATTTATTTTCTTTTTAATTTAGGGATTATGTATGAATTGTCTATCGATCCTGAACCTCATCCACTGCACTCCGTTTAACTTTATTATTTGATTTCAATCATTATAAATTTATAATTATCATCATATCTCCCTCTCTGGCCTTTGCTGTAAATGTCCTTTCCCTTGGCTACAAATAAAATAAAAGCGCGTTAGCCCTTTTAATTTAAGAAGCTTCTTCATGGTCGTAGACATAGAGAGATAGAGGCAGCCAGCAAGGAAGCATAACCAACCTTTGAACAAGTCCAATCCAACAACGCATCATCAGTAAAAAGAATTTCTAGATGTTTCTTATTCTGGTCCCAATAACAGCTGCTACAGCCTTGGTGCTCTTCTGTTCTTGAGATTCCATCACTCATTTCTTTTTAGGAAAATCACTCAAAAAAGATTTTAATTTCTAATTTACGCACACGTACATACGTGCACCTAAAATAGGGAAAATTAAAAGAAGAAAAAAAAACCTAAAAGAATGTAAGTAAGGACACACACAAAGACACAATTGAAGCAGAGGAGAGAGAGAGAGAGAGAGAGAGAGAGAGAGAGCTAAAATAGAGGATTGATTTGCTTGAGAATCTGCCGGGAACCGACCATTTAGAATAGAGTAGGTAAAAACAGAGGGAGAGGGGGAGAGAGAGAGAGAGAGAGAGGTAAATGAAAATGAAACTGTGGAAAAAGGCTGCCGGGCTTATCAAAGACCGGAACAGCATATGGGTGGCCAGCATCTCCAGACGGACCTCGTACCGGAACCCGGATCTCGAGGCCATCATCATCAAGGCCACCAGCCACGACGAAACCCACGTCGATTACAAGAACTTCCACAGAGTCTACCAATGGGTGCGCACATCTCCTCTGTACCTCAAGCCCCTCCTTTGGGCTCTCTCTACCCGCATGGACAAGACTCGCTCTTGGGTTGTCGCTCTCAAAGGCCTCATGCTCATGCACGGCGTTTTCTGTTGCAAAATCCCATCCGTTCAGAAGATTGGCAGGCTGCCTTTTGATCTCTCCAATTTCTCCGACGGCCATTCCAAGTCCGCCAAAATATGGGCTTGTGATGCCCTGGTTCGCGCCTATTTTACGTATTTGGACCAGAGATCCGCCTTTTTTAGTACGTTGGTGATCAAGAAGAACAAGGGCGATCAGGAGGAGCCTGCATTGTTGGAAGACCTCGGGAGATTGCAAAAGTGGCAATCTTTGCTTGACATCCTTCTTCAGATCAAACCAGAGCTGAACTTGACGATCAGCACTCATAACAACAACAACAGCAACACCACCAACAACAACAAGGTTTATCTCATTTCCGAAGCCATGATTTGTTTGCTCACAGAGATCTTCGACGTGTATAGCAGGGTTTGCAAAGGGATCGCCCGTACGCTTTTGAAGATATACGCGGCTCCTTGCAAGCAAGAGGCACAGCTGGCGCTTGGGGTTGTTCAGAAGGCAGCAGTTCAAGGAGAAGATCTCTCCTTGTACCTTGAATTTTGCACGGAATTGGGCATCCTCAGCGCCACGGATTGTCCTAAAGTTGAGCAGATTCCGGAAGAAGATATTAGAGACCTCCAACGGATAATCAATGAAGCTTCAGTGAGAAACGAAAACAGAGACGTGAAAAATGGTGTTGTCGATCATGCACAGGAGGAGGAGGAGGAGGACAAGGCCATTGTGATGATGAGACAAAGAGAAAGCAGCAGGGGTAGAAATAAAATAATGGTTTATGATCAGCAGCAAACGGCATCAAAGAGGGCCTTCCAGACAATCATTACAGACAAATGGGAGGTGTTTGAAGAAGATTTGATCAGCTGGGTCAGCGCAGATACGACTGGTTTCTCTGATGTGAGCAGCAATACCACTATTACAACAAGTATACCAAGTAGTGCTGTGGGTGCACAATACAGAAACCCTTTTGCTGCAGCCTCTTCAAATATGATGATACCTTATAATGCACCTGCACATAACCAAGTTCTTCCAGATTTGATTAGTTTCTGACGATTTGTTGTTGTTGGATTAATATTGAAAAGTTTCATTCCCTTGTTCCCCAGCAGCAGCTTCGTCAATACCTGCAGCTCAATCTCTCCCAATTTTTGTGGATCTTATATCCTCCCCCTTGGGCCTCTTACTTACTAATTAATTATCAATAGATGAATTCTTAACTTGATTTCTTCCTGACCCTTTTCTTCGTTCTCCATTCTTCCTTTTCTGTTTATCTCAAGTCTTAAGTTAATCATCATATTGATATATTATCTGCAGACTGCAGGTAAGGTAACATACACAAAGTCACGTAGATCATATATAATATGTATTTTCATAACACAACAGGAAATCACTCTGCCAGAGAACTGTTTAATCGGACAGACATTACAAATTTGTAACAATTAGACCCAATGAACTAGTGTTTTTTTTCTTGTCTTGGGCCCTCGACAGCTTTTCTCTCTCATCGTGGAAGTCTTATGTCCTCTGTAACTCAAAATTTGCTAAAAGTTTAGGGTTATATTTTGGCCTTAAGCTTGCTGTGACTAAAGGTATAACCTGCCTTATTATTGAAATGGATGCTGCTGTGGCTGTCCATCTAGTCAAGAATATTGATGGCCTGGCGCACCACCCCTTTGCTTCCCTGATTAATACCTGCTGTGCTCTCATGAAACATTTTGATAATTGCACTCTCCTTCGTATTTATAGAGAAGGAAATAGTGTGGCTGACGGTTTGGCAAACTGGAGTTACAACTTAGACCTGGGTATCCTTTATTTTGACGAAGCTCCTGCTTGGATTGGTTCTTTTCTCCTTGATGATATTCTTGGTGTAGCGAAAGCTAGATTAGTTTGTTCTGATTCTTTTTAGTTGTTGTTGTGTTCGGGGTTTATCCCCTCCAGTTTAATAAAAAAAAAATTGCTAAAAGTTGCCTTCAAAAGTAACAAATGGCCACCATGTAGTTTTGGCATTAATTTATTTTCATATTTCCCCACTATACTAAACTGTATTCACTCCATCTCATCTCTTGCGAATATTCTGAACACATTTCCGAGACAATTATCCATTCCCCTTGGATTTTTGGAATGTACACTTCGTATTTTAGTAACACGAAAGTATGGAGATAACTTTGAGCTGTCTCTTGTCTTGCCTAAGCTTTTGGCTCAAGTTATGGCCACTAAACTTTTCCCGTCTAAACAACAGATCTTCCTACATTCGCGGGTTCAGCCGGTTTACCTTCACCAACTGTCAAGTTGTTAATCACCACCACCATTTTTCACAAACTTCGCATCCATCATCTGGATCACAACACTGACCCCAGATTCAGCTTAAAGTATAATGGGTAGATTTTGGTTCTGGACATTAAAAAGAGAGAGAATCGCTGGAGAAAACTTTGCATCTTAAATTTCACAAAATTTCTTTCGTTTTGAAACATTCTTAAATGTAGAAGTAGGTTACATCGTTTGCTTAGGAAATAAATATCAGTATTGAAGGGAAACTAACACAACTATCAAATTACAACATGCTCTCTTTGTTGCACATTATACAATTGAGACCATCTAACCACCAGCAAACAATTTGTAATAAGTTACATATTCTGAAGGTTTCTCTTTTCAACACATCTATAACAAATGCACTACTAACCTAACTACTAAAAGCCCTGCTCTTGTGTAATTTTCGCTAGTGTCCCTTTAATCATCTTAACTAATTATCCTATCAACTATGTCCTCGATCACATTAACAAGTTCACTTCAAAGACACGTTCCACACGAAAAAAACCTACTACTGATAAACCTCTAACTGAAACTATCAGTTTCCTCCCAGACACCAGTCAATCAATGTTAGAAACAAAAGTAAAAGATTTGCAAGACACACAGCAAAGTCCGCATATTATTAGAGTATTAAACCCCTTTCCTCAACCTTGTCACTTCTCTAATGCCCTATTTCTCTTGCATACACCTATATCACAGCCCTCCACTAATTACCCTCTCCATTAGTATCACCTTATATATCATCATGTTCCTCTCCAAGCCCCTATAGACAAGAGTTTCCAGGTTCTTCTATGCCCAACACTGTATCAGTACAACACTAAGAGACATGACACGAATGAGTAGAGCATCCTTAATTGAATTTAGTAGTTCTACACCAGAGATGCAATCCAGATACAACATAATACTACAACAGAACTAGTCAAATACTTGGGAATATAGGCAATCATCTCAGATTCCCCTTTGATCAGTTCAAGTATTTTGCTAAAAGTTGTGGGGGCATTGCATTCCAGTAAAAAGATGAATGGGTAAAGGAGTATTCAGTGCAAAATATTGAGAGCATTAGATTAAACGGAGATTGTATACTATCCAGAAACAATTCAATAAATGAGAACTCATCCGCACAATCCTGGTGGCCAGAAACTTCGGCCCTTATCACATAAGCCGAAAGGAAAAATAAACAAAAGAACAATTCCAAATTTTAGAAACAAGTATCATCCGTCATGACTGAAAATTGAATGACTACAAAGTATCTGATAGATCTCTGCAAAAGGTCACAGAAATATATACAGGTGAAATAGACCAAATACCAACATAGTAACACTACCTGATTGTGACGAACTTGTTGGTACCATGTCTTGCCCAATGACCCCTCAGATCAATTGGGTTAGCAAAATTATATCCTTCAGCTGCAAGCTTCTCCAACACCTTCTTGAAAGCACCCTGACTCATTTTTCTTCCAGCTATCCTTGCCCCGCGTCGCTTAGTACTCATTGGCAAAGGGTACATAGATACGTTTGTGGTGCAACAAGCAGATTGCCAACCACCACAGCCCCACCTATAACACTGTTGTGGAGCTCCAGTGCATGAGCAGACGGGAATTGGAATACCTGAAATATCCATATTAATCCCGTTTATCACAACATCCAAACTCTTCTTTGCTGGCTTCACACGAGGAACCGAAGGATTGTTATTATCTTTTGGCTTCCTGGGCTTTTTCACTTTTGGGGTTTTTGGTGCACCCCCGCCGCCTCTTTTCTTTGATGTGCCACCTTCCTTATTGGCAACTGGCTCTTCTATTCTAGCCACCCTCTCATCCCTTGACGAATCAGGTGGCTGTAAGATCTGCAAGGAGTGAGCTCCTGAAGTTTCTGGCAGAACAGCATAGTTAGGATTGGCAGGCATCATATTGAGGAACTTATCTCTCTGGTTTACCCAACTGTCCCTCATATAGTTCAGTGGAACAGGTGCATCTGATACAACACAATCCCGAGGATGAAAGGCTCCATTGGAGCTAACCATGACTGTGGGATCACGCCCAGGGACAAAAGCTTTTGTGTCGCGCTCTGCCATGCTTGACATGAGCTGCAGGCCAAGATGGCCTTTAAAAGACGGCTCATAATAGCCCCAATTGCGCATGTTCAATGCATCATCATCCATGAGAGCTAGAGATTGAGCAGACAAATAAGCATCGTTATGTTTTGAATTGGCCCATTAATGAAAGTTTTTGAATAACAATAAAAGTTGCCATCGAATAGCCCTCTGAGGCCATGGAAACGAAAAACAAAACAGATAGGGAGATAGAAACAGAGCAGAGCTCAACCAAATCACAAAATTAGGACCTAAGAGGCAGATGTAAACACAAAATCAGCTGCAAAAAATGGATCTTCCTATTAAATTAAATATCAAGCATTTGGTTGGCAGCTGATAAAATGAAGGATAACACAAATACTATCGATCCTTCCTAAATCCCCAAGTTTCATTCAGATCCAAAAGAACAAAAATTTAAAATGAACAAAGACCAATTGTGATAAGCATGCAAATATTTTCATCTAATGGCTTATTTCTGAAAAATGAAGATCCTTCCCTATCCAAATAAATAAATATGCGAATTCCAGGATCAAAACTTCTGTGCATTTCCTACACTTTCTCAGCAACCAAACAGAACCCAAGTAAAAAGACCAACACCCAGATCTATATTTCCATCTTAAAGCAAACATAACGATTAGGGTTTCCGAATCTGATAAATTGGGATCTGAGATCTGTGCACAACAAGGAGAAAAAATAACAAATTCATAATAATTTTGAAGCTTTCAAATATATAAATATGCACAAGAATGTAAATGGCAGGTTAATAGTACAAGGACCCATATATTCAAATTTTAGAAAGAGAAAGAGAGATAGTGAGGGAAGAGAGAGGAGAGAGAAAACTTACTTAGGTGGGTGTAAACGGCTCTTTAGGGTTTTGCCCTTCTGGAGAGAGAGAGAGAGAGGTGAGAGGAGAGAGGAGAGAGGAGAGAGGAGAGAGAAACCTGAGAGAGAAAGAGAGAGAAACTTATGAGATAGAGAGAGGAAAGAGGAGAGAGGAGAGAGGAGAGAGGAGAGAGAAAGCCCTAAAAATGAGAGAGAGAGAGAGAGAGAGAGAGAAACCTAAATTGGGGTATCTATCAAACTTATAGCTGTCACTTTAAAATAAGGAAAATCTAAAAGGCTGATGGATGGATAAATATATTGATGCATCATATGTTGAACTCAACAGCCGAAGTTTGTAAGTGCAAGTGCCATGCGACAATAATAAAACTCCAATTCTTATCCCTTTCCTTCTTTCTTTCTTTTTTTTATTTATTTTTTATTTAGACAAATATTTTGGAGTCTTTTTTTTCTTTCTAAATAAATATTTGAAACCTTAACCACAAGTTGTGGTGGTATTGGTAAATTGCTATCTCCAGTTAGCGAGCTATTTGGTGTCTTAATAGTAGGGAGTTCGAAACCCTATGGAAGCACTTTGTGGCCAAAGACAAGCCGAACTCCGAATAAGAATTAATCCTATCCTTTGAGTGTGGGGATACCTCATGGTATTTACCAAAAAACTATTTGAAACTTTTATTTTGGTACAAAAATAGTAATTGAGACTTGAGATTGAGAAGAGTCACCACTTCCCTTTATTCTATATCTTTCTTTCTTTTTCTAAGTAGTTACTGACTTTGTGATTTCATTAATCTATAATTAGACACCCCATCTATGATTTATAGAACATATGTGGTATTTTAGCTTTGGTAATGTTTACAAATATGGAATTGAAGGTTTATAAACTTTATATGGGAAAAAAAATTTCTATGTTTGCTTTAAAAAAATCAACGAAATAATATCTATAAATCTTAGAAGTAGACATAAGTTTGTTGTGCAACCATTATTTTCTCTCATCGATACAATTTAGCACAGTAGAAAAGAACTTTAATTTGTAGACCAATAGTCAAACCTCATGACACCTTGGTAGTGTGGGTGAGAAAACCTCCTCCTCTAATATTGCTTGTATTAACAAAATAAAAAAATAAAAAGGGTCTTACATTTAGCTTACTAAAGTCCAGTGCACTATGAAATACACAACGGAGTCAAACCCAAAAACTCAAAAACAAACTAACTCAAATCAGAGCTTGGCCCCCAAAAGGAGCAACCCATCCAACCAAGGAAAAAAAAAAAAAAAAAAAAAAAAAAAAAAAAAAAAAAAAAAAAAAAAAAAGAAAACTGAAAGGGAGGAGGAGCTCAAAGTCAAGACAAAGCTCGTAGCCGACAGAGCATGGGCAACAAAATTCTTTTAATCCAAAGACCATGAATATTTTGATTGTTAAGGTAGTAGGAGGACTGTGCATTGTAGCTCATGAAATGAATAAATTTAAAATTGTTGGGAGGGAGCAATCTATTTTTATTAGCATAGCCTATTCAAATGAAACGACTTCTCTCAGGCATTGAAAAAGGTCCTATTCAAGTAATGAAAAAGAAACAAGGATCTCTCGTGCATGGGAAAAAAGCTTGCAAATTAATTAATTGGCTAAAAGAAAGGGTAGTTGGGCAAGAAATTTTGCGTTTATGTTTGTCCCTCCCTAGGCACATAAGATAAAATCAACATGCAAATCCCAGCTGACCATAGAAATTGGCGGAGCATAAAGTCATACCAATGGTGAAACTGAAACACTTGCCTTATCGAAAGCATGGTGCCTTTAATTTACTCCACAGCTGCTTTTGTTCCATATGTTGCCGCGATAGAATTGCAAGGCCTGTTTTTGAAAATAAATCATGCACATAGCACTCAACTATAAGCCTATAACCTGATGAAGAGGCTCTTTTGGGTTCTCACTGCTCCCCAATTTTATTTCCAGGCACAAATTGCGTGCGTGATCTAGCTAGCAGTACTATATCTAAGGCTGGGGTTGGTTCCTCAAACCATGACCTTCAAATAATATTATTTGTTTTTGGTCCAGATATATATGTTATAATCAGATTGCTTGATCATGCTTCTTCTTCTTCTTCTTCTACTTATTTCTATATAACTCCATGCCCCTATATAAACTACCTTCCTTTCTGTCCTGGCCGATCCTTGCTAACACCCAACACACAATGGCGTCCCATTTAGACTTTAGTGGGTGCAAGAAGAGGAAGAGAGGTGAGAGGGTGTTTAGGTTCAAGAGCTTCGGAGAAAATGGGTACCCAGTTGGGTTTGTTGGGTCGTCATTTAGGGAAAATGTAAAGGCCCTCCTTGAATACGGGCATGTGGAGGGTGGTAGCCTATGCAGCACTAGTTCTACTGGAATGAAGTGTTGGTCATTTCAGCTTCAAGTCCATCGCCATGCTCCTGCCCATGTCGTGCTCTTTGTCGTTGAAGAACCTATCGAGGCATCGCTCAATCGTCATTGCAAGCAATGCCAATATGTCGGTAAAGTTCTATTTCCTTCCATCGATCTAGCTCTATTTAATTTAATTTGAAAGAGAGTATGTTGTTATTTGTAACCATGTTTACTGAGTCACGCCTAATAATCATATGGTGGTAGGTAGGTAGCTATATATGATGGCCGGCTAATTAATTCCATGATATGTATATAGCTCAGGCTGGGGGCAGCATATGGTTTGCAATAAGAAGTACCACTTTGTGTTGCCTTCCGCGGACACAATGGTGGCAGCAGCAGCTTGCCTGAATTGCAAAGGTGGCAAAGTCTCCTCCTCCGTTGGCAATGCGGGTAATTCATCCAATAGTTTAGTGGAATTAGAGGGTCATATGATGCACGGTGTGTTTCACTCTAACGGCTTCGGGCATTTGCTGTGTGTCAATGGGCTGGAAACCGGTTCTGACTTGGCTGGACACCAGATCCTTGAATTTTGGGATCGTTTATGCACCGGATTGCGAGCAAGGTACGTAATAATATCATACCTGAAAATCTTTTTTATGTTTTACCTAAACAAAGAATGAACAACAGTGTATTATATTTGGTACGTATAGGAAAGTGAGTTTGAATGACGTTTCACAGAAGAGAGGCATGGAGTTGAGGCTAATCCATGGAGTAGCATACAGCGAGCCATGGTTTGGTCGTTGGGGTTACAAATTCGGGCGTGCAAGTTTTTGTGTCACTCAGCAAATGTACCAAAAAGCCATTGAAGCGCTACAAGGCATGCCCTTATGCTTGCTTATCCACGACCATCTTGCCACTTCCAACCATGACATTCCTCTCATCTTCTCAAGGTATCACACACTGTCAGACAATTCTTTGGTCACTCTTGGTGACCTTTTCCATTTCATGCTAGAGCTCAAGTCCCGGTTGCCGCCCACAGACCAAAATTCATGCATTGATTCCTCCTATAGCCCAGCAATTTCGGTGGAAACAAATTGTAGATGGTCCCCGAAAAGAGTTGAAATGGCAACTCGGGTGATTGTGGAGGCCTTGAAGAGGGCTCAGTTTAGGTGGGTGTCTAGGCAAGAAGTTAGGGACGCCGCTCGTGCCTATATAGGCGACACGGGGTTGCTAGATTTCGTGTTGAAGTCGTTGGGGAACCACATTGTGGGAAATTACCTGGTTCGCCGCACCTTAAACCCGGTGACTAAAGTTCTTGAGTATTGCTTGGAAGATATCTCCAATCACGTGTCCCCTAATAACCAAGATGGCTTGCTCAGGAACAATCCGAAAATGAAAGCTGGGTGGTACAAGATTTCGAAATTCCAGTTAATGAAGGACATGTTCTACTTGTACAAGCACATTCTCAAAGACCAGAAGCTGAGCAGCACAGGGATCTTTTCAGCCATACCAATGGCTGTAAGGATCATTATTGACTCCAAGTACCTTGTGAAGGATTATTGTGGTGGTGAGGTGTCTACGGAGGTTGAACTAGGACTTCAAGGCAAGTCAAACATCTACTGCACCGTGATGCTAACTAACACCGACCACGAAGAGCTTGATCATGATCAAAATTATAATAAGATTATAAGCAACAATGCAACATTGCCACCCTACGAGTGCCTCACGCTGAAGAACAATGCGACAGTTGACGAGCTCAAGAAAGAAGTGGAAAGGAATTTCAGGGAGATTTACTGGGGATTGAGGGGGTTTGTGGTGGAAATATTTGGAAATTTGAAGAATGCGAAGGGGACAGATATGGTTTTTGGGTTGGTTGAG